AATCCGCATCTTGGTGGGGGTTTGTTAATCAAATGGATTTGGAGTTGTGATAACTTGACAGATCGACAACCTTCACCCTTCATCGCAACAAACCACCATCATCATAAGCTCTATCACGAGCCTTCATCTTCACATCAGAATATGGGCAGCTCTGATGGAGCAAACGAAAACTCTAACTCAAAAACGGCATACAAACTATTTCGAATTTGGGAGAATTCATGGAAATTTTTTCTCTTTTTGATGTTGCATGCAGGTGGAAAAAAGAAGACGAATATATGGTAGGGGAAATTAGGTATGATAGTGAGAGTGAGAGAGAGAGAGAGAGAGAGAGGTGAGCCTCTATTATTTTTTTAATTGTTAATATATATATATATATATATTAAATTTAAGAAAAATGAAAAATAAATACCCCAAGGGTATTATAGTCATTTCAATTTTCGGATGGATTATTTTTACATACAAACCACTCCAAAAGGACCATGAATCCAAAAAACCTAGGGTTTGGACTAAAACACCAAAAATTTGCATACCACAGGGACCATTTTTGCAATTTTGTCTAAAAATACACACAAATACAAGTTAAATATCAATCTCAAATACATTAAAACAAATAACCATAAGTTTTACATCAATCAACGTACACCAAAAAATAAAATAGAGTATAATATTGTAGTACATGGTTCTGGTATGTATTTTATCCTAGTACTTTGCATTTTGGCCTTGGACTCGGCGAGTTGAGGTCCAACTCGTCGAGTCGGAGCGTATTGGATGCAGAAGTTTAATGACCTACTCGACGAGCCCACGTCCGGACTCGGCGAGTAGGCGTTGTCCAGACAAAACCCTAGATGAGGGTTTGCACCCTATTTAAACTACTTATTCATCCTCCCTTTCGTCCACAATGCTTCCAGAACTCCCTATAAGCAAACCCTAGCCATTTTTTGAGAAGAGTTAAAGAATTTTTGGTGGATCTTGCTAGTTATGGCCATAAGGAGGAAGGAAAGGCTTGAGGAAACAAGTGAAGACCAGGGGAAACCGAGTTTGTGCATCTTCCACAGTCCATTGGAGGTATAAAGTTGTAACCTTTCTCTTTCATTTGATAGATCCCTTGTTGGGGAGATTCAGGGCTTTTATAAGCCATTTTTGGTAACCAACCATGATTGCAAGCATGGTTGGCAGTTGAGGCTTCAGAATCAAGTCATTAAGGGAGTCACAAAGCAGTTTGGGGCTGCTTTTGCACCCATGTAAGGTCCGATGCATCATAAGAGCTTATTTTATGTCCTTTTGAGCTCAAAGTCACATGCATGCACGTAAAGTTTGTAACTTTACATGCTAGAACGATTGAAGGGGCTTAAATCTATCTTTTGGTCAAGAGTTGTACGGTGGAAATCGAGAAATGAGACTTGGACATGCTTGACTCGACAAGTCGTTCTTGAGACTTGGCGAGTCCGAGGCAAAACTCCCCTTTGCTGTTAGGGTTTGAAGGAACCCCGTTGGGCACTAGAAGGGTTTTTAGAGGGTCTAAGGGAGTGACCCAACGTATTGGACTTAGCCTTAAACCTAGAGTTCGTGGGACTCAACGAGTGGAAGAACAGACTCGGCGAGTCCAAGGCAATCTCCTTATAGTTGAAGATGAACTCGAAAAGTTGTTCATACAACTCGACGATTCAAGGACAAGACTTGTTTAATAGATGAAGGTAAACTCGACGAGTTGTTCATACAACTCGGCGAGTCGGATGAGGGTTCATTCGATGTTCATATAGAAGGGGAACTCTTCGAGTCGTCGCTAAACTCGACGAGTAAAGTCGTGGATAAGGACGGGTATTGAGTTAGGGACTCGATGAATTGGCGGCCCAACTCGGCAAGTCGGGTCAACTGGAAGTTGACTTTGACTTGGACTTGGTTAGGGGTAAAATAGTCATTTTACCCTATGAGTAGATATCAGGTTCTAACTAATTGTTTTGTGGGATTATAGCCGGAGGGTTACCGAAGCAGCAGTCAGACAGTTGCCGAGCAGTTTTTCAGCAGTCAGCCTTACGAGGTGATTTACCTCCTAGTAGCGGTGGGTCTAAGGCCACAATGTCGGCCCACCAGTAGGAGTCGTATGTTAGGTGATTGTCTTTGTAATATTCACCTAGGATTATCATTATCTGATATGTTTATATGCTAGCATGATATGTGTTTATGTGGTAGTAGTAGGGGGTGAAATAGTCCCCGATATTCTGGTGAAATAGACCGACGGGTACGTCAAGCACCCCAGAATGGTTTGACCTGGATAAGTCACGCGCCCCAGAATTGTCTGACAGTATATTGTATGGTATGTGGCACTGTGGGGGAAATCACTAAGCTTCGTGCTTACAGTTTTCAGTTTTGTTTCAGGTACCTCTTTAACGAAGGGGAAGGAGCCGGCATGGTAGCTGCACATCATACACACACCTCAAATTCCGCACTATGAGATTCCTTGGGATTGTACTCTGACATTATCACTATTTTATGATTTGGATTTCCAGACATTATACACAGTTTTATGAGATGTAATGATTCGACCATGTTTTCCTACGAATGTTTTAATTAAAGTAATTTATAAAAATGAAATTTTTGGTCGTGAAAATTGGGTTGTTACAAATACATAGACAAAATTGCAAAATGCTCCTTGTGGTATACATTTTTTGGGGGTTTTAGTCCAAACCACGACTTTTTTAGATTAGTGGTCTTTTTGACCTAGTTTTGTTGCGTTTTTAGTCCCTCAGTAAACTGAAAAGACTATTATGCCCTTCAGATATATTTTTTAATGCTTTTTCTATTTAATTTAAATGAAAAATAAAATAATTAACTAATTTGGGGCCCACATCTCTCTCTCTCTCTCTCTCTCTTCTAAAAACCCAAACCACCGCCTCTCTCAAAGTCGTATAAAATCCATAAAACTTCATCATCTTCAACCTTGGGTCCAGCTGGTTTAGACATAGCTCAATCATTCTTCAAGCTCATTCAAGGCGTTTGACCGCGTCACATACTTCAAAAGCTTCTCGCCATCACCCACAAACCGATTCGGAACAAATTCTTCCACACGGTCAAACACTTTGGGATCCTTTGTTGCAAATGGCTGGTATCCGAGCAACATACTCCCTTTTTTCACTTTGAAAATGACATCATGTGATTCGATTGTAACGCCACAGGTGGTTCGATTCGAAGTGACTCATTGACTATAGATTTCATCAAGGGCATCTGCTCCATTTCCGCCATCATCACCTTCCCTCCGTTGTGGGTGTTGATCGCACCTATTATCTCCTCCGCCAATTGGGTATGTAAATTAGTTTCGGCACGGCCGAGCCATTTCAGTATATTGGGAAACAAAATATTGATCACCCCAAAAGTATTGAAACAAACTGTGAATAAGATGTTATGAACCGCCTCATCTTTTGAAATCCCTAAAGCTTATGATAATTCAATGAGAAAGGGGTGAGCCGATAAAGGGGAAGAAATCGAGAGAGGCTGTTGTTGGGAACTGCTCCGGGGTTGAAAAAGGGGAAGACATCGAGTGAGATACGAGGGGAGGAAGGAGTATGGGTCGTGGATGTTTGGGGCTCCTGTACTCGACAAAATAAACACAATGGTGGTGGGTTTTTACTATGGTAGCAGGGAGTGGCGGAGGGAGCTGCTCCGGTGGGATATTTCAGGGAAGATTGGAGATGAGGTGTTGGGGTCGAGTTCAGGTGGGATAAATCCCATCGGAGCTTCTTTGGTGGGGACCTCCCATGTCGCCGCAACCTTGATGGTGGTGAAATGGGTGGTGGGTTTGGATGGTTTGACGTTGTTGAAGGAGATGGGTTGCGGTTGTCTCCATAGAGAGGTTTGATTGGGGATTACGAGTACAAAGAGGGAAGCTTGGGTAGCCATGTCATTAGTGTTGGTGTAAGATTGGAATAAAGAAGATGAAGAAATGGGGAAATATTTTTCATACAGTAGAATACAGAGAGAGAGAGAGAGAGAGAGAGAGAGAGCTTTTTATTTTTTTTAATTATTAAAATAAATAAAATAGTATTAGATTTAAAAAGAAATGAAAGAAAAATGAAAAATAAATACCTCAAGGATATTACAATCATTTCACTATTCAGATGGACCAAAAACGCAATGAAACTAGGTTAAAATGACCACCAATCCAAAAAAAATCATAGTTTGGACTAAAACCCCAAAAAAATTTACACCACATGAACCATTTTTGCAATTTTATCTAATACTAATACATAAACAAAATATAATTTTAGATGAATACAAACATATTAAAAAACTTTATAATATTTATAATGTATTTCTATTCAAAGAAATCTAAATAGATATAAAACAAATTAAAATTTATTTTAAAAAATAATTCATTTTCATATGTATTTATTTAATTTAACCGATTCAACCAAATTTTTATAAAAATCAACCGGTTCATTGCGATTCATAAATAAACATAAAACCGATACTAATTGAACCACTCCCTCATTCATTTCCCGGTCCAACCGACCAGTTCAAACCGGTTTTTAAAACATTGGAAAATACATAGCTACCTCAAAGACAAGTTGGCATGCCAACAATCCATTCTATCTAGTTACGATGGGTTAGGTGAATAAATATTAGGTTTAAACGGAGTTTATGCCCCTATAAAAAAAACAAGAAGGACCTTCTAGACTAAAAGACTTAAGATCATAAGGCCTCATTTACATCATCCCTAAAAATTATACATAAAACAATATTTATTTGGATTTTCCGTGCGGGTTTTTTTGGATATAACAAAAACCAAAGCTAACCTAAAATCTCGTTTTTAATTATACCAAAATCTTTCCAAAAGGACTCGGTTTTTCTACACAGCCCTATACAAGACCAAAGAAAATTAAAATACCAGATTAATAATTTTGATATTGAGGACATAAACTACAGCATTTAATACAATATACATGGATGCTATGTGTGTATGCTATATAGAGGAATGGCAACTAATAACTTCAAAGCCTTAAGCCCCCCATTCCTCCTTGTATTCATTCACAAACAAATATATAACATATATATATATATATATATATATATATATATATATATATATATATATATATATATATATATATATATATATATATATATGCTTTAATACTTGCAAAATTTACACACCAACAATTAGCCATCACAACATAATATTAGGAGAAGATATATATTATATATATTTAAGGCATGTGCTATCTCGTATATCATTCTTGGATGCTATCTTTTTCTGTTAAACTGCTAATACTTCTTTCCAACTGCAAAAGCCAAAAGGAGCCTGATTGAGATTATGATTGATGACTAGGGCAATCTGAACCTATGTATGTAAAAATGGGTCGATTTGGATTAAATATTTTATTAAAAACAAATGCAACTGATGGGATGCTGAACAAAATAGCTAAAAAGAAAACAGGTCAAAAGGATAGGCTAGTTTAAAAGTAGACTTGAGTGTATTCTGATGTATACAATCTCCTAAAAGGTGATCGTTATTTTAAGTGTAATTACAGAAATGGTCCCTGTGATTTTGAGAAAATAGTAGATTCAGACCAATTTTCATTTTTTCTTGCACAGACAGTCCCCAAGGTTTTATTTCCTTGCAGCCTTCTCGCTAAATCTAACAACTCAGCTGTTGGCTTTTTAGTTATGACCATTTTGTCCTTGGACCAAACGAGTAAAAACAATATACCACAATGACCAAAATAGCTTTTTAAATATGACCATGTCATGGGACTCTTTATTTAATAATAATAATAATAATAATAATATAAAGGGTTAATTTTGTAAATGGATAACAAAGTAATTGTTTTTTTACAGAACAACATTGTGTTAAAAAAGTACTATCCAAAGGTGTGTTGTACACAAGAATAAGACCCAGCAGGGGTAGATTAGTCATTTTACACAGATTTCCCGGCCAAGTTCTAACGGTGTTGGTTGGAAGGACCAAAACTATAACAAAATGAAACTATGAGGACTGTCCATGCAAGAAAAAACAAAATAGGAGTGTACCTGCTATTTTCACTAAACCACAGGGACCATTTCTGTAATTTACTCTTATTATAACAATAGTTTCTGTAATCATATTTAGTATATAAAAAGATGAAGATTAAGAAAAACCTTTGCATTTCTTGTTTTCAGTATTCGTAATTGCTCGACCAGACTGCCAATGCTGAAAAAGTGAAAATCATGAAATATTTTATTTTTATATTAAATATATGCAATTTTTATTATACATGAAAACACAATTGTATTATATTGTTTTATATATACCTTTGTTGTAACTCAATAACCTGAGCCTGCAGTTCTCTTTCCCTTGGAGAATTTACATGCAGCTACATATAAAGGAAAACAGACGTCTATTTAATTTTCTAGTTTTTTTAATCATCTTTAATGTATTAATTAGAAGAAAAAAAAAAAAAAAGGAATCCATTACTTGTGAAAATCCATTGGTTCCTGACCCCTCATAAGCATTGCCTGCATAAGGTAATTCACACAAAACATAAAAATCACAATTTAATCATGAAAAAAGTCAAAAAAAAAAAAAAAATGATGAAGTACCATGAAATTGGTCTGCAAACTTGATTAATTTAAGTAGTTCTTCCTGGACAACATAAACAAAAGTATGAAATGAGAGAGCAAATTTTTGTAGCCAATCAGAGAGGGAATTTAAAGTTAGAGTAAATTACAAGAACGGTCCCTATGATTTGGGGTAATTTGTACGTTTTGTCCCTAACTTATTTTTTTAACTCGGAAGGTCCCTACAATTTCTTTTTGTTGCATGCTTGGTCCCTGTCTTACCTAAAAAGACTATTTTGCCCTGGATTTTTTAATTTATTTAAATAAGGTGGCGTAGGTAAGGTGAGATGGAAGTGAGATTGGGGGTGTGTTTATTTAAATAAATTAAAAAATCAAGGAAAAAATAGTCTTTTTAGGTAAGACAGAGACCAAGCGCGCAACAAAAACAAATTGTAGGGACTTTCCGAGTTAAAAAAATAAGTTATGGATCAAACGTACAAATTACGCCAAACCATAGGGACCATTCTTGTAATTTACTCTTAAAGTTATATAAGAATTAAGATTTAAGAGTATGAGACACGTACTCTTTGCATAGCATTATGCTGAAGAATGGTTTGCAAATATGGAAGAACAGAAGCAGCTGATGTAATTGATATTGGAGAAGTGGTACAACTATTACCACTAGAAACAGGACTCTGAAAACAAGATGAAAAGATATAAGCATTAACCATTTATAGCAACATACATACCATGTGTAAAAGATAAGACTTTATGTAGAAAGTAGAAGAATGGAAATAATAATTTTATAAAATGTGTACCTTTAGATTATGATCTGCAGATAAGACTTTAAATCGTCCCTTACGCTGGACCACAGCTCCTTCTGAAACATCCTCACCTACATTACACAATAATAACAATAATAATAATACCAAGGTTAAAAAAGACATTTACCACAAAAAGTTGACTTTAACAGGTTGGTCAAAGATGCCTTACCAGATGTAGAATTATTATTATTATTATTCCCTTTATGTTTTTGTCGACACTGCAGTGGACCACTATGATTACGTTGTACTTGGAATCTCGATTGCAGATGATCCCTTCATATTCATAATGACCAATCAAAGTCAACTCAAATTCATTAAATAAATAAAGAAAGAAAGAAAGAAAAACAAAAAAAGAATCCATAATTACCTGTCAAAATCAGCAACCAACTTTTTACGAGAAAAATGATTATTATTATTATTAGTAGTAGTATTATTATCTGGAAGCAGTGAACCACTCAAATATCTTCTTGGCCCATCAATAGTAGGTCGAGGTAAGGATTTTATTTGTCCAAAATTATCAGTATCATTGCTTTCAGCTTTCTGTTCTTCAGCTTTTATTAATGGCTTCATGTCACTTTGTTGTTCATTATCTGTTGAGTTTTCATCACCCGCATCATCTTCACAGACATCAAAACATCCCCTGTATAATTTACAATCAATACATGTAAAAAAAAAAAACTCTAAATCATGCTATTAATTCGATTTATATCATCCATTGTTCCATTTATTGTTTACTCTAAACGATAAACAACTTTAAAAAACATGATCTTACTTGAGTGCTTGAAGAGGCTTTATAGGAAATGCTGCAAGTGAAGTCTCCAAATCAGGAATTTCATCGATTGCATCCTGTAACGATAAAGTTTGATGTTACTAAAAACTTATTTGGACAATTTGCAAGAAATAGCAGCATACATTTACATTCATTATTTACTCTTTTTACCTATATTGTTAATGTACTTTCTTTTTTACCAATAAAAAAAGTACCTTGCTATTTCCTGAAATTTACGCTACATGTTTTACTATGAACTATAATACCTCATGGTGAGATCCAGTATCTGAATGATCAGATATCTCAGGGGAAGGTCTCTCTGTTGGCAACCCAACATCATTGAGCCCGTTTTCTTGCTTTGAATTTTCATTCAGATGTTCTGTATTTGATATTTCATCATAATCCTGGATCTGTCATTAAAAAAAGAAAGTTGAAAATATGCAACACCAGATATTTTTTTTTTCTCATTAACTCCAATGACATGAGCAAAGAAAACATACAAGGGCAGCTTGATTCTTCAAGTCCTCAAGATTGAAATTCCAAGCGCTAATTCCACGAATATACTCTTGCTGCATATGAAAAAGATTTTAGCATTTCACAGACAGAATAATTTATTATGAAAATATTATATAATTTGATGGAAATTCCACCTGTGATAAATGCTCCCTTTCCCCAAATAATTCCTTGTTCTGCATGAGAAGTTCTGCTTCTTTTGCCTGAAACAACAAAAAGAAGTTCAAAAATGGCCAAAATTGTGGGGTTCATTTAACAAGGTAACCACCTTTTTACCCTTATAACAAATGACCCCCTATTTCCAGTTTTTGTGTATTGCGAAATTGCTTTATGAATGTTCCCATCACAAAAAACCTTTAATAATTTTAAAAATACATCTTATTTTGCGAAATGACGATGTGATTTCGCAAAATTGTGTCATTTTGAAGGAATAAAAAAAGCACAAATTTTTTTTAAGGTTTTTGTGGTGGGAACCTTTGTTCACAAAATCCATATTGTGAAATTGATGATCGTTTTGTTTTGAAGTTTCAAAAAGATGGTGAATTTGTTAAATGGATCATACCATTATCTTCATTTTTTGTAACTGTTCCTAATATATATATATATATATATATATATATATATATATATATATATAATCATATCATCGTAGAGAGGTCTATTAGCATAATACCTTTAGCATCCTGAAACGATCTCCTAATGGGAAAAGACCATTAAGAATAGTATTTTCCAAATAGTCAATTGTTCGTGCATTCTTAAAGAAAGGGTGCTTCAAAAGCTTCTCTGAAGAGGGGCGTTTTTTTGGGTCTTTCACTAAGCAAGCAGCAACCATTTCTTTAAAAGACTGCAAAGCTGCTGCAAGTTAGCACAACATTCTAGAACATTTGAGATCTTGTAAAAGATGAAACAAACCTTTGAGAATTTTTTATCCCTTTCATAGTCAAGACCTGGTGGTGCGTTTTGCAGAGTCATAAGCAAAACCTGCAAAAAATGAGACATAAGCGTATAAGGGTACAAGGGTAATTTTAACAAACGCATTAAAAAATCATTTTAACAAAAGAATCACCTTCATTGGTGGATACTTGGAGAATGGTGCATGCCCATGAGCGAGTTCAAGTGCTGTGATTCCAAATGACCAGATGTCTGCTCTGTTGATGCACAACACAATTCTTTAGTTCAGACATGACATAAAAATAGAAATATATAGAAAAGTAAGTTACAAGAACATTCCTAAAGTGTTTTCTCTAGCAAATATAAAACAAAATAGTAAAAAAATGTGAAATATAGTCGTTTTACATGGAACATGGACTATGATACTTCAAAGTAATGACCAAAACGTCACAAAAACCTCAAATAAGGACAAAAATCACAAGAGAAAACTTTTTGGGACCAATTTACAGAAAACAGCGACACTCAGGGACCATTTTTGTCATTTTCTCTATATAGAATAATCATGAACAAATAAATCATCACTTACTTGAAGTCATATCCATGCAATTGCTGCATAACTTCAGGTGCCATCCTAGGAAAACATTTCAAAGACATGGTCAAATAATTTATAAAATCGATGATGCTTCCAATACATTTATTATAAACAACCAGTGAAATATATCAATATAATGAGTCAAAAAGAGAGCATACCAACAAGGAGTTCCCACAAAGGTATTTCTTGAACGTTGCCTATCACCAGTATCAAACATACAAGCAGATACTCCAAAATCAGCTAACTTCACAGACCCGTTAAAATCAACTAATATGTTTCCTGCCTAAAAAACACCAAGCTCATAAATGATAGAAATCAAAGAATAAATGAATCATTAGATAAGAAATAAGGGTGTGTAGTACTATTACCTTCACATCTCTATGGATGTGGCCTTGATTATGAAGATAAACCAGAGCTTTAAGAACCTCTCGCAGCAATGTAGCTATAACAGGCTCTTCAAAACCTTCTTGATAAGAGGATTTTATTATGTGAAGACAAGATCCAGCAGCCATATATGGTGTAACAACCCAAAGGCTTTGGCCAGTTGTGAAAGAGCAATATGCACGTAGTAAATTTGGATGCTCAATCAAGCTCATGGTTTGTACTTCCCGACGAATACCATCCTAATTAGATCGAATAATACATTAAAATATTAATATATTAAATTTAACAACAAATGCAGTGACTACCACTAATTCTAAGCTTCTTATCCATAACCCAAGTTATCATGGCAACCTATTTTAGTAATCAAGGGGTGGTATGAAGGTTTCATTTCATTGTATGTAATCTTTTGCTTTATGCTTTATAGCCCTTGTATTTGTTTTACGTTTTATTGCATGATCTCTTGTTGTTGTGTTGTTCTGTTGGGGTTGTTCTTTATTCATGATCTCTTGGTGCATCTTTAATTCTTAGTTCTTGAGTTTCTGGTTTTGAATTTTGTTGATTGTTGTCCTATATGGTGGTTTTGGAATTTTTAAAGCAGAGAACATAAGGTTTTATGCTTTTTTATGTTATCGATCGTCCTATTGATGTTCTTGTTTTTCACTTTTTTGCCTTTCTCAATAGCCATGCTTTATTATTTTCTGCTTTTTGCCAAAAAAACGAAGTAATATGAAACATTGGCTTATTACTCCATGTGTGAACATGTTCCATATGTAAGGTTTTAATGGGTGTTCTCTACTAGCAATTTGGTACATAACTAAATGAAACATGAGCTTATCCCCACATCGATGTGTATTAATCAAATTCTAGGTCCAAAAAAAAATTGGACTAATAACCAAAGATAATATTACTTTTTGTCTTAAAAGATAATCATGACTTTATCATAACCCTCATCCAGAAAGTATATACATGTATAGATACATATATGTGTTTGTGCATGTAATACATAAAACATGACCAAATGGTGAAATGAAAGACACAAGAAGAGAAACTAACATACCAGGTCATTATTACACTTCTCCAAATCAAGAACCTTGATTGCAACCGTCTCATTTAGTGGAACACAGAGAGCTCTGTACACAGATGCACTGACTCCTTCACCAATTTCTTCATATAGCTTGTAATCCTTTGCATCGAGAGGGAACTTCTTTTTTGGATCTTCCATGTCTTCTAGATTATTATAAAAGTAAAGCCATATTTAACATAAGCTCTAAAGACATAGAGGTGTGAGTCAACTTAAAGTTAAATTCCTTCCAACATGGCAACATGGCTGTTCTATCAGTATATAACTTCACAAATCCAGTTACTTCATCAGAACAACCTTCAAAGTGCTTCAGGCACCAAATAATATACAGCCACTTACAAATGACGACTTTCGTGTGTATGTTAACTCACTGGTAATGATGACTTTTGTTAACTGCAAATCTGCCAGAAATGAAGGAAAGATGCAAAGATGGTGATTAGTGACTTATGAATTGTTAATATTCTACCAACAGAAACATGTTAATAAGTATATATCATTGCTGTAGCATGTTATGTGAGGCAAAACATGAAACTAAATTAGAACATGCAGTCAGCAGCTTAAATTAATTAATATAACACGAAAAGGATTAAAAGCAACAACTTGCAACTAAGCTAAGCATCTATGGAAGAAAAAGATGCCCATGGACCATAATACATAAAAAGTGTGCTTTGAAAGTCTATTAAGAATCCTACTTGACACAAGCCATTAGTAAGTTCCAAAGCATATTCTGCTTGATAATTACTCATGAATCATGGCATACAGCACAATTTTTAACGGAATCATAACTCATTGATAAACTCTTTCTGGATTTCCCCTCTATATTTTCGCTTACTTCTAAGAGCAATCTGAAGCTACTTTTCTTGTGATTCAAACAAAACGCTAGCACGTTCTAATCGGTTGACTAAGTCAATGTTCGTCTTCCAAGTAGACACGATTCCCCAATTAACAATAACAACATCAAATACTAATCAGAAATGTGATCCTCATAGGTTCAATCGTCATAAATTCGTTCCAGTAACAACCAATTCAAGCTGAAAGAATCACAGCAACGTCAATTTCACTAAAAAAAACACAACCGCTCATATAACCAAGCAGAAAAAATCTAAACAATTCACTCAAAATGAAGAACATAATCAATAATTTATAGAAACTTATGAAAAAATAAAAGTACAAACCAAGGGTTTCCGTACGCGACAACAGGAGACGAGAACTAGAATTCGAGTATAGAAGTGCTTGCAGGAGAGGAAAGAAGGAAAAAAAACCAAAGCGAAGGATGTCGTGAGATGATTTGATAAGCCTTGTACCTTAGGAGTTTGAACTAATCATCAATCCGCCATAGATGATGTGTAAAAGAGAATCACACAGAACAGCTATGGTCTACAGCTTGTGGGGGATCGAATCTTCACCGTTAATTATTCGAAAAATGAGGACAGATAAATATCAATACGCTGCAGCTGATCCCAATCTCTCTTTCTTCAAATGCTTGTTGGATTTGGATCCCAAAAGTCTAGGATGTTATTCGCGCTGGCTACCAGATTTTTTCCATTAAATTTTTAATACAATGAATGATAATATATAGGTGTATTTCAGCGTATATATATAAAAATAATCACATTTAATTATAGTTTAATAGGTTAAAGAAAATAGTATTCGGATGTTTTGTTTATTATTTCAAGTTATAACCAGATAAGTATGAATAAGGCAATTTGATTTTGAACACTAAAAAGACTAAGGAAAATATCTCTGGATTAGATAAAAAAAAAAAAAAAAAAAAAAGAGTTATTCAGGTAATTTTAATTTATTAATCTGTAATTAATTTTATCATAATCGAGGCTATTTTAGTTTATTAAAAAGTTATCAGTTTATCGAATAAATAAAACATATTTATAAAATATTTTTAAAAAATGAGCAGTACAACATCAAATGTGATTATTTCTCAAGTTATAATAATTAAATAGTTCATATTCGTCTCTTAAAATATAAAATAATTAGGGAAAATATCATCTAAAAAATCTAATGCTTTTGTAAAATAATATATAAGGACGCCACATAACCTTGAAAATGTTTCAAATAGATCAGTTGATTATGAAAATTTTAAAAAGAAAATTTTAAAAGATTATTCAACTTTCAAATATAAAGTTTTTAATTGAATATTACTACAAAAATTAATGGTATTTTTGTAAAGTTTAAGAACTTATTTAAAAATTATGATAACATCTACATCACAAAATATATGAACAAATTTATTACTTATATTTAAACAATTGAGAATAAGTTAGCCAAAAATACAAGTTAATCAGGTTATTAACAAATTCGATATATATGTATAAGTTATAACCATACATATGTTAAGAAATTTGATGAATTGGAGCCCACTGGTTTGGCATAGTTTGGGTTCGGTCGGGTCGTTCACATATTGAACTTTGATGTGGGTGGAGCCACTTGTTTGGCTATTAGAGCATCATAATTATTTTCCATTAAATACTCCTATTATTTAAATAAATAAATAAATAAATAAATAAATAAAAGATTAATAAAGTTTATTTTAATGTTTAGTATTTAAAGTTTAACAGTTGATATATATATATATATATATATATATATATATATATATATATATATATATATATATATATATATATATATATATATATATATATATATATATATATATAGAGAGAGAGAGAGAGAGAGAGAGAGGTTCAGGTTCATTTGAGATCATTCTAATTTTGTGAAACCGTGAGATCAAATCTAAAAATAATTTTAAAATGCAAAATAAATGGAAAAATCCAAAAATTCTTTTTTTAAATATTATTTTCAGAACTTGAATTAACTAAAAAAAATATTAAAAAAATAAAAAAAAAATCCGTTTTTTTTTTTAAATACGTGAAATATTCTAAATAGAATATTACACTGACATATTCTAAAAAATAATTTTAAAATGCAAAATAAATGGAAAAATCTAAAAATTCTTTTTTTAAATATTATTTTCGGAACTTGAATTAACTAAAAAAAATTTTAAAAAATTAAAAAAAATTCTATTTTTTTTAAAAAATACGTGAAATATTCTAAATAGAATATTACACTGTACATATTCTTAAAATAATTTTAAAATGCAAAATAAATGGAAAAATTAAAAAATTCTTTTTTTAAATATTATTTTCGGAACATGAATTAACTAAAAAAAATATAAAAAAATTTTAAAAAAAAATGCGTCTCACGGTCTCACAAAATATAGGTGGTCTCAAATGAACCTAACCATATATATATATATATATATATATATATATATATATATATATATATATATATATATATATATATATATATATATATATATATATATATATATATATATATATATATATATATATATATGACAAAATTGCAAAAATGGTCCCTGTGGTATGCATTTTTTTGGGGTTTTAGTCCAAACCTCGACTTTTTTGGATTGGTGGTCCTTTTGGGCTGGTTTACATGCAATTTTGGTCCCTGTCCAAACTAAAAAGACTATTATACCCTTAATGAATTTATTTTTCATTTTTCTTTCCCTTTTTAAAATTATTATTATTATTAAATATAAAAATGGGTCTTCTCTCTCTCTCTCTTTCTCTTTCTCTCTCGTTCTTGGATACCACCAGTAAGGGAAGAAGAACTGGTGGCTGCCCCCACCTCTGCAACTCCCTTCCTCCTTCATTTTCTTTCCCGTCGATCAAATAGCCCAAACACCCTATGTTCACTTCGTGTGCTACCCACCTCCACAGCCGTCAACAAAAGGGGAAAGCAGCCGAGAGGAGCAACGGAGCAGCCATATTGCCATCACCTTCGATGCTTCAACCATCTTCAAGCCTGTCACCGCCTTCAGCTCCTGCGCTTCTTCTGTCTCAGAAGGAATCAAAAAGGGGTTGCTGCCTCCGATGTTTGCTCCGAGGAAACACCCACTTCGGTGGTGGGTTCAGGCCAGGGAATGAAGAAGAAATGGAGGATGAAAGGGGGAAAGGCAGCAACGATCGCAACAGTCTTCAGGGGAAGTTCAGTGACTAAGATCGACAGGTAAAACGATGGAGCAACAAGGGGTTGTTGCCTCGAACTCTCGTCGGAATTGACCATCACCCCTGACATTTCATAACAGGAAACAAAGGAGAAGACAGGCGAAGTAGAAGACGCAGCTGCCTCCTGTTCTTCTTCTTGATGGAAACAACAAAATTGAATGAAAAGAAAGGTGTTTGGAGCTGGTTTATCTCATCAAAGCTTTGGATGTGAAGAAGGAGAAATGGGTTCAAGATTTGGGTTGTTGATTTAGGTTCTTATTTTCGTTTACAGCTTCCATTTTCATCAGAAAATGGTGGTTTCCAGGTTTGATCGGGGGAGAAAAACAATAGTCAAAGGTGGGTGCTGGAGAGAGAGAGAGAGAGAGAGAGATGTGGGCCCCAAATTAGGTAATTATTTTATTTTTCATTTAAATTAAATAGAAAAAAGTATAAAAAATATATCAGAAGGGCATAATAGTCTTTTCAGTTTCGTAAGGGACCAAAAACGCATAGAAACCAACCCAAAAGGACCACCAATCCAACAAAGTCGAGGTTTGGACTAAAACCCCAAAAAAATGCATACCATAAGGACCATTTTTGCAATTTTGTCTATATATATATATATATATATAAACAGATAAATCAAATATTTTTCTATATATTTTTTTATTTATCGTCTTAATAATTAAATCAAATCAAAAGAAAAAATTAAGAAATGATCAGTGGTATTCATATATAATAATCTTATACAAATAAAAAAGATAAATATAAATAAAATGTAAAAAGATATTTATTTTTTCATATACAAATATCATATCATATAATAATATATTTAACAGCGAAAATTTCGACTAACAATATCTCAAAATATACAACAAAAAATATCTTAAACTGAGGTATGTTTGGTAGAGCATATAAAAGTTTTGGAAGCTTTTAGTTTTTAGCTTTTAAGAAAGAAAAAAAACTTAGAATTTTTTTTTTCATTTAGCAACAACAACTTTTAGCTTTTATTTTTAACAAAAGCTATAATGGAGTTCAAATAGTTTTTATGGGTTTTTAACTTCTGAAAGCTTTTAGCTTTTAGGGCCCATTTGATAGTGAGCTGATTGG